AAAATTATCTGTTCTCATAAAGTGTTATTGTCTCAAAACCTTATATACTGTCACTATGAGTCAAAATTAAACCAATGGCACATGGTCTGGTTGTTTTTATGTTAACGAGGTAGGATGAGAGGCAGAATTCAATTTACAGAATTAGGCTTGAGTCATATATTCTGAGATATACAAGAGATTAAATAAGAGTCGAGATCAGAAGGATCTACTACCACCAAGAAAGAAGAGCTGGCAACAAAGTGCATCCTTTGGACCCAGGGATTCTTTACTGGGAACTTCCAAGACCCAAGGGAAGACTGATATCAAGACACATGCAGATCTCTCAGGAACACGGGGTCCACAGCGATTGACAGACAATATGGGTTTACCCCAAAACTAAGAGAGAAAGTCTTTCCCTAGAACTAGCATAGAGAATTTGGACCTCCAGCCTCCCGAATTGGGAGAGAATATACTTTTGTTTGTTAAATCTATCAACTTGTCAGACAGCTATGATAGTAGCACTAGATACTAAGACACAGCCCTCCTTCCTTGTCACATGCTGACAGCCAAATGACTAAAATGCCCAGATATATGAAATGCACCATGGATGGAGGGAGAGTAGTCAGGGGATATTAGCAAATACTGGGAATCTGAACGAAAGAAGTTTTCAGAAGTTATAACATGCAGAGAGATATGAAGCCCTAAAGGTCTGAGAGGAATCACATGTATCTAATGCTGTTTTTAGCTGCCTTGCATACATTTGCCCTCATAGTGAACACCTGTGAGAGAGTAGAACTGTTTCCACAGGATCCTCTTGGCTGTCGTCTTTACTGAAGCAGATCGCAGGTTGCATTGGGTTGTGTTGGGTTGTGTTGGGTTGGGTTTGGCTTCCCTTCAGAGCGACTGGGTGGGTTCTAGCAACCTTTCAGTGAACAGCAAGCACTTAGCTGTTCCCATCAGCATGGCCCCTTAAGTGCACTATTAATCAAGCAGAATTAGAGTAAATTCAAACAGAGTATTTAAATAGACTCCCCTTCATTCTCCCAATGAAGAATATAAAGCTATGTACAAGAGCCACAAAAGGCTATGTACAAGAGGACTGGAAACCGTTTGTTCAGTTCTATTTTTCCACAAACTTTTGAAGCCCCCTCCTATTTACCAAGTCAAAACTTTCCTTTGTTCTTTCAATTATCCAGTTGATTGCTTTAGGATACAATTGATATTCTTTTTTTGTGTGTGTGTGCCAATTTTTAATGGTCATCATCATGAACTCATCCGTTTGTATTTAAAAGTCAGACAACTTGGTCTGAGATGATACATGAGCAAGAGAACATCATAAAGATGAAAAGAACATGAAGCACTTCCACTGGCCCCCTTGTCTAAGAGGAGCGAAGATGGCAGGCAACAGAGAATCAGCAGTGGCTAAAGACATTCTGCAAAGATTTGGGCTTTTTGTCAAAAGCAATGCTTCCAACTTACACCTAAATCTAAATGGCCAAAGTAATAAAATGGACTCCTGAATGTGGAAACATACATCAAGTTATAAAGCATATCATAATAAATCTTAATGTATCAAATTAGAAAACAATGCACAAAGAAAGCCCAAGTATAATCTTGTGGCAATGTCTATCATGACCTAAGTGTGTTCTCCCCATTACCTACTGCCTCACACCACCCACACGCTTCTTTGGACATAGGGAGGATACGTGAAAACCAAAAGAGCATGGGGTTGAGAAATGTGCTTGGGAAAGAACATTTACACATGTGAAAGCGGCTATGCTCTCCTTCCCGGCACTGGACAGAATGATTGCTGAAACCATCCGAGGAGGCTTCTGCATTTGAGTTGGCAGGAACATCATTCATGGCAGTGATTTGGCCAAAAGCGCGGAGAAAGAAATCAGCCTCTGGTTTAAGCCGCAGGAATTGGCGGACTACAAGTCTCGTGGCAATGACTGGATCTACGAGTAATAGGCAGACAAAGCAGTCCCATCCCTGTGAGCCCGTTGACACTGTTGCTTAAAGAAACCTAAGCACCTCAGTGACCCAAACAGTGTGACAGGTTCTGGGTTCTGGTCCTTTTTGGATACCATTGCTATGAGTCCAGATGGATTCGGTAACGGTAAGGTTCGGGGTTCTGAAGTGCAGCCCTATCAGCAACCTCATAAGAAAGGCTGCACCACAATGTGTAAATGTTCTATAGTGATTCTGTAAGTCTACAAACTTAAGGGGATTTAAAGCAAAGAAGCAAAGCCCCAAAATGGTGTCCACTAAGAAAATTATTCTCTAATTTCATTTGAGTTCTCTGGCTACTGTCATCCTAATCTTTCTTCCAAATAAAAGTCAAATTCTTACTGGCATTCAGTGGAACAAATGGCTTACAATTATGAAAAAATGCATTTACTTCACAATGGAAAATTATCTACATTGATATATTCCCATTTTATTTTCAAAATACTTTGAAATTTTTTTAAAAGTCATTTTATTGGGGGATCGAGCAATGCTTATCACAATCCATACATACATCCATTGTGTCAAGCACATTTGTACACTTGTTGCCATCATCATTTTCAAAACATCTGCTTTCTACTTGAGTCCTTGGTATCAGCTCCTCACTTTTTCCCCTCCTTCCCTTCTCCCCCCTCCCTCATGAACCCCCAATAAATTATGTTATTATTGTGTTGTCATATCTTACACTGTCCACCATCTCCTTTCACCCACTTTTCTGTTGTCCATCCCCTAGAGAGGAGGTTATATGTAGATCCTTGTAATCACTTCCCCCTTTCTATCCCATCTCCCCTCTACCCTCTCCTGGTATCGCCACTCTCACCACTGGTCCCAAAGGGTTCATCTGTACTGGATTCTCTGTTTCCAGTTCCTATCTGTACCAGTGTATATCCTCTGGTCTAGCCAGATTTGTAGAATCTGGGATCATGATAGTGGGGTGGGTGGGAGCATTTAAGAACTAGAGGAAAGTTATATGTTTCATTGTAGCTACACTGCACCCTGACTGGCTTGTCTTCTCTCCACAACCCTTCTGCAAGGGGATGTCCAGTTGTCCAGAAATGGGCTTTGGTTCCCCAATCTGCACAACCCCTCATTCACAATGATATGATTTTTTTGTTCCTTGATGCCTGATACCTGAACCTTCGACACCTCGTGATCAGACAGATTGGTGTACTTCTTCCATGTGGGCTTTGTTGCTTCTGAGCTACATGGCTGCTTGTTTTTACCTTCAAGCCTGTTAAGACCCCAGATGCTATATCTTTGATAGCTGGGAACCATCAGCTTTCTCCACCACATTTTCTTATGCACCCATTTATCTTCAACCATCGTATCACGGAGGTGAGCACACAATGAAATGGTTTTCTGTTCTTTGATGCCTGAAGCCTGATCATCCCTTCGACACCTCATGATCACACAGGCTGGTGTGCTTCTTCCATGTGGGGTTGTTGCTTCTCAGCTAGATAGCTGCTTGTTTACCTTAAAGCCTTTAAGATCCCAGACACTATATCTTTTGTTAGCTGGGCACCATCAGGGTTCTTCACCGCATTCGTTTATGTACCCATTGGTTATGTCTTCAGCAATCGTGTCAGGAAGGTGAGCATCATGGAATGCCAGTTTAATAGAACAAAGTATTCTTGCATTGAGGGAGTACTTGAGTGGAGTCCCAATGTCCATCTGCTACCTTAATATTAAACTTATAAATATATGCACATAGATCGATTTCCCCATCATCATAAATAAGTATATTTACATATGTAAATACCTCCATCTAGACTTCCACAAATGTCCTTTACCTCCTAGTTCTTTCCTCTATTTCCTTTTACTTTCCTCTTGTCCCACTATCACACTCAGCCTTCATATGGGTTTCAGTATTTCTTCTCAGTTACATTACCCTTGCTCAAGCCCTACCAGGTCTCTTACACCCTCCTCGCCATCGATTTTGGATTACTTGCTGTTCCCTTGTCCCTGAGTTAGTTAACACAACCCCCTGTCCCCCAAGTTTGAAATTTTTATTATGAATTAGGGGGGGGGGGTTACATTATCAAACTTCCCAATAGCTTTCCCAGCCAGTCACCTTCCACCGCTCCTTCTCCCTCTTGTAGAATACTCTCTTCCCCTTTACCCAAATTAACACCTGTCTGCCCTCTAACCTACTGCTTCCCTCTTTCCTCCTTCCCCTGGTAACCACCAGGTATTCTCCTAGATCTCCCAGGTGCCAAGTAACACTCTAAGGCTGAAAAGGTTAAAGTGAGATAGAGATTTTAGTACTTGGATTTTCAGGCTATAATTCGACCCATTAGACATCTTTGCCAGGATAGACATTAATCTACTTCCCATATCCACTGCTGAAATATCCCATATTCACATCACAGCAAATGGGATGTGAATTCATAGTGACCCAATAGGATGGGGTAGAAATGCCCTTGTGAGTTTTTGAGACTGTAACTCTTTATGGGTGTAGAAAGGCTACTTTCTCCTGCTGAGTGGCTGGTGCTTTTGAACCACCAGCCCTGAGGAACCTAGCCCAACTTGTAACCACTACACCACCTGGAATCCTATCTAGTGCTTATAAATTGGGTAATACAAGTGTATTCCAAGATAAAAGATAATTTTGAAGCATGAGATGCAAAGTTAACATTCTGTAATTGATCCTATTTGTTAAGGTGACCAGACGTCCCGCTTGTGGCGGGACACTCCCGATTTTTAACAATTTTCCCCGTGTCCTGCGGCGTTTTAAAAAAGTCCCGATTTTTGGAAAGAATGCACGACAAGCTAGGGCATACGGTTTTCGGCTGCCATGTGGCTATTTCACCGGATATGAGTTTTATCAATGGTGTCCTGCTTTACCAATATTAAAATCTGGTCACCTTATATTTGTACCATTCTCACTAGTTAATTATCCTCTAATTACCAAAATCACAAACCATACCTTCGTTCATGTAACCAATATCCAGCCTATGACTGAGACCTTTTCACAACTTTTATTTTAAAAGAAAAAATTTAAACTAAATACAAACCTGAAGGCATCCATGGATCAGAAGGTGGTTTGGTTAAAGTGTTCACTTGCTCCCAATTAAAGTCATCATCTTCAGCTTGACTGTATCCACATGTGTTGTAAGGCTCATCAAACAGACAACCACCTAAAACATGAGAGTGAAAAACAATGTGAAAACAAGTAGGCTTCTCAGCATACACTACCACAGCTGCAAATAACAGCACACTTAAAAATGCTGTTAAATCTGATTTGATCTTTTTGATCATGAACTATAGATTCAACTCTTATAGAACCTCTGAGTGTTAACAATGTCTTGTCTGCACAACAACATTATGTTGTTCTTCAACAGGAAATCAATGTTGGTATTAGTAATTTAAAGTAAGTTCTAAATATATCTAAAATTAATATTTTCCACGTTTATGAAAATATGGGACGATTGATCTTATGTTCAAAACTTTAACAGATTAAAAATATTGTAATTTGTCTAAAAACTGAAAAGACAAAAACTTTCACCTCAACTTTGGCCTAAGACAAAGGGAAGTAGTGATCATGGGCATGGCTAAGAATTTTTTAAATCTAACATAGAAACAGGTTCTGCTTTAATATTCTAAAGATCTGCCTTCTCAGCAACAGAGAGTATAGGTTTACTTATAGCAAAATCTATTTTTTAAGATACAAATAAATTTAAAAGTAAAATCGTTAATTTTGTATGCAAAATAAAACTACTTAAAGAAATAAAACAGTAAAAGACATAGTACATGAATCATACAAGAAAGTACTTATGTACATGTACATGGAAATTAGCTCTCTCGGCCTTCTTGGGGTCTATTAATGATCGTAAGCCTTACCCCAAACCAAAACCAGTGGCTGTTGAGTCACCTCTAATTCACCCATATGGGTTAAGGGAGAGCTACGCTTTGTAGGGCTTTCGATGATTGTGACCTTTTAGAAGAAAACTGCTAGGTATTTTCTTTTGAGGAGCCTCTAGGTATAATCAAACAAGCAACCAAATACATTGTCTACTTGAACTGCCAACGCATGCACGCACACACAAGCACACACCAAACACAAATCTGATATTCATGGGATCATCCTGAGTCAGATTGGACTCAAGTGCCACTAGTTAGTCCCACCCTACATGACTTCTGTGATTTTGAAGTATTAGAAGAACAGATTTTCCACCAATGTTTCACACGATGTTAATCATCTTAAGTATTATGGTCATTTTGTTTAAAAATTATATTGAGTATATAACCATAAAATAAAAATTTTAATCATGAAGTGTGGTAATGAGAGCTACTAGTAAAGAAAGTCTGAGTTTAGGAATATTATTAGCAATATTTTCAATGTACACCCTGATAGCAAAAAGGTAAGTTTGATGGTCTTAGTCTGGAAACTCAATGTATTGATATTTGAAATACCAGTGACGTAGCATCTAGTAACAAAATAAGGAAGACTGCCACATAATTGATGCATTCGAATTATAGTGCTGGCAAAGAATACTGAAAGTACCAAGGGGTGCCAGAACAACAAGCCAATCTGTCTTGAATGAAGTAAAGCCAGAATGCTCCTTAAAAACAAGGCTGGCAAGACTATATCTCATCACATACTTTGACTTGTTAACAGGACATCATGCTGGGTAGCGAGTTAGCTAAAAGGAAAGACATTGGTCAAGATATACTGGCACAATGGCTACAAAAACGGGCTCCAACGTAACAACACTTGTGCGGATGGTACAGGACCAGGCATTGCTGAATTCAGTCCTATGAGTCAAACCAAGAATAACAACAGAGGGAGAGCAAACCTCAAAAGCATCTAGTCCAATTTACAGTCACGTGTTTATGTCAATTTTGCAATATCCCAGACAACTAGCTTGTTTTTGAACTAATAAGGCATTTAGGATTTTCTAAAACCATCCCACCAGCATAGGGATACGGGCTCCCCTTTAAAAAAGTAGAACTCTCCTTGAAATGTACACCTAGTTATCTTCCATACTATTTTTTTGAAAGCTCAGCTCTAGCACAAGAAGATTGGTAATTTGAAAAGAGCTGTCATGCTCCATATCTTCACTTTCTGAAATCAAATACCAGACTTCACATTTATGCCTCCTAAATTTCATTTCAACCCTACCCCCCCTACCCCTCCCCACCCCCATTGCATCAGTCTGTTAAGAGCCCGTGGAAACCTGATTTTGTCATTCAGGTATTAGCCACTCTACCTAGATTTGTTATCTGCAAATTTAATGAGCATCCTTTATTTTCTACCCCCAAGTTAGTGAAAAAACATGGTCACCAGGGTAGATTGTTAAAAGTATCCTCCTCAGCTCTTGTAGCTTTATTTTAGTGTTTAGCTGTGGGTATGCCAGTGAAAGCTGAAGCCTGGACAATGTCTCCTGTAACACCTTTCACACTCCTGGTCTCAACTAAACATTCCGCTGAGAACAAAAGAGACAGGATTAGCCTAATGTTTATCCTTGAAACAATTGGTAATTTATACATTCATCTTACTGACTTTTAACAAGTTCAGAAACAAAGTGGATTTGTTTAAAGTGTTTAATACTAACAGTTTTCCAATTTAGGCTAAGAAATGTTAGAAGAAAATGCAAATATTTATGAGAAATATTTTCCTTAGTTACAAACCTAAATCTCATGTAAAAAATTGCTTCAGTCTTACAGGAATAACACTAATAATATTCAACAAAAAAGAAATAGCCATGGATTTTGAACAAAAAAAGGGTCACCCCCAAAGGGAAACATAGACAGTACTTTGATGAAGGTCCTGAAGTGCAATCTTAAACCATGAGAAATAGCCACAGGGATCCACAAGCTAACTTAAGGATGCCTAAAGATCTGGTTTACAAAAGGACTCCTGGCACAAATATCACAGCAATAGCACTCAGAGGCCGATAGCAAACTCTGAAGACTAATAGAACACTGGTACAAGGATATAATTTTCCCATTAAACAACACTGTTTTTATCACTTGAAAGGAAATGCAAAAAGTATCATATGGTTCTTTCTGGACCCAGATATGATTATTGAGCCACTGAGATAGACCATGAATTGCCATGGCTCTGAAATATACCTCCCAAAACACTGATTTCCCATTTACCACTAGCCTTGCCAACAGAACTGGGACCCTAAAATAACAAAGATGGTTTTACTAAGTTAAAAAAAAGGAAGATTAAAATAAACAACATCTGATTTGAAGTAAACAATTAAAGAGAGAACAAATGAGATGTTGATTTTCAAAGACAGCTGTTGTGTAGTCGTGAAATCTAGCAGTTCCAAAGTCAAACACATGCAAATCCCAATTCTTCTACCTATTGCTTTGTGACTCTGAACAAATCATTTAGTCTTTCTGAACCCTGGTGCCCTGTACCCATATAATGGAGATAGTAATATCCACCTCAGATGGCATCTTACAACTCCTTACAAGATTAAATTGGATAATAAGGATGGTTAAGACTTCCTCTCATATCCTTTGGACATGGTGTCAGGTGGGGTCAGACTGTGGAGAAGAACATCACGGCTTGATAAAGTGGAGGATCAACAGGAAGACTTACTGAGATGGATTGACACAGTGGCTGCAACAATGAGTTCAAAGATAACAATTGTGAGGCGGAGGCATGACAGCTGGACTGGGAAATGTTTCATTTTGTTGTACACTCAGTTGCTGAGTCAGAACCAAGCCAACAAATTGGACAGCAACAACAAATTGGACAGCAAATGCAATTCTACTGTAGCACAGTGCATAATATTTCAACCAGTATAAGTTATTCCTGGTGCCTAAACTATTTTTATCATATATACCTCATATACCAATTATTCTCAGGAGCTCATGTCATTGCAAATAGTTGGAATATCACACTGGAAGCTACAGAGGCAACTCTGTAAGAAATGAAGCAGTTTGTGAGCATTGATGCAGGGACTCTCTAGTGAGTCATTTCTATTGAGCACCTAAATGAAAAGAGTTGGTTCAGAATACTCAGAGTCAAACAACTTTGAATCAAAACTACTGTCATATGATAAGGACCAAGGGATGGGGAAAAAAGCAAAACATATTTTCTTCAAGCCTAAAGCTATGTTGAACCCACACTTTTGAACTAACGTGAACCTTCCTGTCACCTCCCATCATTTCATAGATCCATAGACTCTCTCCAGCACTCATTGTTTGGGTAGTGTTAGCCTTGTATCCCATTTGTCCTGTACTTGTGTTGTGTGTGCCCTTTGTTTCTAAGAGAGAAGAAAAATGCACCAAAAAAGCAGTTAACTGGTCAAATTAATTCTTCAAAGGCAAGAGGGGTTTTAAAGTGCTACTTACAAAACATGTACATTGTATTATACCAAACCAGTGCTATGGGGCTAATTCTGACAGACAGTGACCCTTTATCATCCCCATATTTATAAGATGAGGCAGACAGCCTCATCTCTGTACTGAAGAGTAGCTGATGGTTGGAACTGAAGTAGTTGAAGGCTTACCCAACACCACCACATTGTATTAAGTATTATAAATACAATCTATAGATGATAATAAGTATACAGGAGGTATAGGTTATGTAAATATTCTACCATTTTGTATTAGGGACTTGCGCCTCTGTGGATTTTGATATCCAAGGGGGTCCTAGAATCAATAGTCATGGACACCAGAGACTTTTGTAAATATTTGGGGGCCAAAGAAGAAATATGAAAAGAAAACATAGTACCCTGGAACTTAGTGAAATAAGCATTTTAGAAAACAATCTTGATTTTCAGTGTCTGGACAAATTTTACCATCAACTATGGGAATGTGGTCAGCACCAGGATTGCTCAGCTTTCCACAGAACTGTCTTTCTTGCAACTCCTGCCAACAGGTCTTGGCTCTATGATACCCTTCTGTCAAATCAAAGTAAATTATTTTTCTTTTATGGAAGAGAACTGGAGCTAAACCAAAAGTCATATACGAAATAGAATAAAGGTGATACATGTTGAGTAGGGTGGCATTCTGTGTTACATTATGTGTGTGTGTCCCTCCCTCTCTCCCTCCAAATTTCTCTCACAAGTACACTTTTACACAGTGCTCAAATGACTACATCATACCTGGAGACAGGCATTCCATTAGCAATTTTAAACATAAGCTATAACATGTGCTGCATAAAGAATAGCTA